AAAAAAAAAAAAAAAAAAGGCGGGTGGGGGTGGGCATGTGATAAATGGTAGCTATGATAATGTCCTAGAAGGAAATACTCAGCATTTTAACAATACTAACATTTGAGTTCTTACTATATTCCAGGCACTGTGCTAAAGACTTTGCTTATATTCTCCAGCAACAATTCTCGGAATTGGATAGTTTTAGTATTCCCATTTTACAGTAGAGGAAATTGAAGTTTAGTGAGGTTAAGTATCTTGGAGTCAAGATTTGGACTCAGGCAGATTTGGTTCCTGTGTCCAGATTCTTAATTATGAGATTCACCTAACTTACTTCCTACTCCCTTCCCGGCCTATTTCCCCAAAAAGAATTAAAAAAAAAACCTAATTAGTTTCATTTTCCCCTTATTCATAATGTATTTTCCAGGATGATGGGATTTAGCGAAGAACCAGGAATAATTCCAAGATTTTGTGAAGATCTTTTTTCTCAAGTAGCCAGAAAACAAACCCAAGAGGTATGTTCTAATAATATCTGCAAGCTTCTCATCAGAGTAGAAAATAGTCAAACCAAGTTCAAATCAGTCACGGCCACTAAGGAAATACTTAATGGAAGATAGTTCTGATTTATAGATCACTCTTCTTGGAACAGTGGTATGGAGAGGGAGGGTGGAAATTCTAAATTCAGAATCAATTCCACCTGGTGGGCAGTGAGAGTGAAGTTGTCTCTTCTGTCTTCTCTACATTGTTTTTGTTTTACTTCTTTGGTGTATATGTAGAGGCTCACACATGTGGTAGTTACATGCTATTATACATGTCTTTGTAGTCAGATAGGTGCACAGACTTAACTAAGTATAGCAGGCATAAACTTTTGGACAACGTGAATCAGAAAGAGTAGTGAAATTGGGATTTAAACCCAGAGTTGACTTCCAAAGCCATGCTCTTTCCACTGTACTACATCTGAATAGGCTGTACTGGCTTCGTATTTCACTTGTTCATTTACACACTGAGCAAGCTTTTACTGAGCATTCTGCTGTTGCCAGGCAGCCTGTTAGATCATTTTTTTTTTTTTTCTCAAATTTACTTTGTCATAAGAATCACCAGGAATTCTTGGCAGGGACATATATGTATATGTGTATGCACACTTGCTAAAAATCTCTTCTGGAGGTTCTGAGTCAGTTGGTCTGCTGTAGAGCTTGGGATTTTATAATTTTCCTGCTTTTCCTCCAGTATTTTTTATGATAAGGGAAATTGGGAAAATTGTGCTAGATTAGGGGTGTGGAGTTAAAAGACCCAGTCCCTGTATTCAAAGGAGTGTAGTGGAAAAATAAGCCAGTTAACAGCCAAGTACAATCAATTAAATGCTAAACAAACTAAAGTAGATGCTATAATAGAATATGTAACTAAGAACACAGTAGATTGGAGGGAGACAGATTCAGATTCTCTCAGAGGAAGGAGCAACTGAGTGTATTTTTGAAGGGCACATATCATTATTAGCTTGGTGAAGAAGGGGAGAAAGACATTCCAGAAGAGGGAGCAGCATATATCAACATTTGAAAGCAAAAAAGTAGGGAACCTTTGGGAATCTATAAATAATTTCCTTTGTTTTGAGGATGAAATCTGAGGGTGGAGAGTGATAAGAGGAGAAACTAGAAACTAGAGGCTGGGAGCAGTGGCTCATGCCTGTAATCCTAGCACATTGTGGGGCCGAAGCAGGCAGAATACCTGAGGTCAGAAGTTTGAAACCAGCCTGGAAAACATGGTGAAACCCTGTCTCTACTAAAAATACAAAAATTAGCCCGGTGTGGTGGCGGATGCCTGTAATCCTAGCTACTTGGGAGGCTGAGGCAGGAGAATTGCTTGAACCCAGGAGGTGGAGGTTGCAATGAGCCAAGATCTTGCCACTGTACTCCAGCGTGGGTGACAGACTGAGACTCCGTCTCAAAAAAAATAAAAAAGTAGAAATGTGACCTTGAACAGTTTACTTATGTCTGTTTCAGAACAGACAATAGAGATGATATGGACAATATCTTTATCGTTGATTTGTGGTGAGGATTAAATGAGTTGATCTATACAAAAGATTTTGAAGTGTGCCCGACACATAGTGAGCCCAATAAATGTGTTTATATCAACTTTGGAATTAAATTAATACTACTCAGGTAGAAGATAATAGTATGTGGATGGGGATAATAGAAGGTAGTATAGCAAGCCTCATGGCAGGAGCCTTAGAGGAGAAGAAAAAAGCAGGTCCTCTCCAATGTGGCCCCAACTACCTTCTCCAATTTGTTTCCCACACTACATTTTCATTTCTAAGTCCTCCTGGAGCCTCTATAACATAAAATACTATTTTACATAAAATAAGCATTATTGCATGTTTATTGAATTCTGACAGCCCCCATACCTACTCACAGCATTTGTGACATGATAATTACATGGTGTTCACATATATCTGACCTCTTTTTCTGGAAGTGTTTTGTTTCTCTCTCATTTCACCAACTGTATTCTGCCTTGTATTACTCATGCACTATATCGCATCTCCAATTAGATTCTGAGTTCTTTCAGGATACAAACTATGTCCAGTTTCTCTCATGTTTTCCCACAGCTCCTAGAAGAGTGCTTTGTACCTAGAAGGGCACAATAAATATTTGGCGAATTGAACTAGATCTCTTTGACACTCCCTTGAAGCTTCCAACTCTGTTAGATGCTTGCTAACTCACTTCTGGGTCAGTGGATGAAATTTATTTCTCTAATAAGGAAACTATGCCCTAACTGTCAGAAGAGCTGTTTAGAAGGAGAATTTCCCCTTTTTGGCCTCTACGCTGTATCTTTCTAAGTCAAAAGGAGGAGAATTTCAGCCCCACTTAGTCTAATGATTGTTTTCTGCCGCAGTCAGGAAGAATTGTTGATTTAAGGCTTTATCTTACGAGATCAAATGTCAGCCTACAGGGTGTCTTTCCTGTTCGCAGCACTTGTGACACACAGACGCTGCTGTCCTTACCCAAGAATGCCCTTCCCCCACTTTCCGGTTCAATCCACTGTGTCTCTCTTGCCTCACATTCTGTTTACTCCTTCCCTGTTCTCTCTGGTCATCCTAAATATTCCCCTTTCTGATTAGTCATTTTATTTATAGTCATCTCATTTTTTTTTTTTTTTTTGAGACAGTGTTTCGCTCTTGTCGCCCAGGCTGGAGTGCAATGGTGTGATCTCGGCTCACTGCAACTTCTACCTCCTGGGTTCAAGCGATTCTCCTGCCTCAGCCTCCCGAGTAGCTGGGATTACAGGCATGTGCCACCACACCCAGCTAATTTTGTATTTTTAATAGAGACAGGGTTTCACCATGTTGGTCAAGCTGGTCTTGAACTCCTGACCTCAGGTGATCCACCCGCCTCGGCCTCCCAAAGTGCTGGCATTATAGGCACGAGCCATTGCGCCTGGCCATAGTCATCTCACTTTGATTCTTAATTTTCTATTGCTCTGTTTTATCTATTGGAAGTTATGTTATATGTCTCTGAGGTGTTAGCCTCATGGGCAAGAACATTGTCTAAGACTTCTTTATGTCCTTCTGACAATAACCTAAATCCATACACATAGTAGGTAGGTACTTAAGAAATGCGTATTGGATTGAATTGAACCTTATGTAGAAAGTAAGAAGAAATGCAAGGACTTTTGTTATTGTTCATATTAAATTTTTTAAAATTGAGATAAAATTCACATAACATCAAATTAACCACTTTAAAGTATACAATTCAATGGCATGTAGTAAATTTATAATGTTGTACAACTGTTACCTCTATCTAGTTCCAAAAAAATTTCATTGCTCTCAAAGGGACCCTGTACCCATTAAGCAGTCACAATCCATTCCCCCTTCTCCCCAATCCCTGGCAACTACTAATTTGTTTTTGTTCTATGGATTTACCTGTTCTGGAAATTTTATATAAATGGAATCATGCAACATGTGATGTTTTGTGTCTGGCTTCTTAGCATAATGTGTTGAGGTTTATCTATATTGTTGCACACACAGTACTTCATTTCTTTTAATGGCTGAGTGATATTTCCTTGTATGGATATACCAGTTTTATTTATCCATTTGTCAGCTGATAGGCATTTGAGTTGTTTATACCTTTTGGCTATTGTGAATACTGCTGCTGTGAACATTGGTGCACGTGTTTGTTTGAATACCTGTTCTCAGTTGTTTTCTAAATTTCTATGGTAATGCTATTTTTTTTTTTTTTTTTTTGAGATGGAGTCTTGCTCTGACTCCTAGGCTGGAGTGCAGTGGCGTGATCCCAGCTCACTGCAACCTCTGCCTTCTGGGTTCAAGCGATACTCCTGCCTCAGCCTCCCGAGCAGCTGGGACTACCGTTGCTCACCACCATGCCCAGCTAATTTTTGTATTTTTAGTAGAGGTGGTGTTTTACCATTTTGGCCAGACTGGTCTCGAACTCCTGACCTCAAATGATCCACCAACCTTCACCTCCCAAAGTTCTGGGATTACAGGTGCGAGCCACCATGTCCAGCTTAGTAATTCTGTTTTTAACCTTTCAAGGAACTGTCAGTTATTTTCCAGAGTGGCTGTACCTCCACTATCAATGGAGGAGGGTTCCAGTTTCTCTACATCCTCACTGACAGTTGTTGCTTTCCACTTATTATTATTATTATTATTGCCATCTTAGTGGGTGTGAAGTGGTTTTTCATTGTGATTTTAATTTGCATTTCTCTACTGCAAAGTGATGTTGAGCATCTTTTCATGTGCTTGTTTGCCATTTGTACATCTTCTTTGGAGAAATGTCTATTCAAGTCCTTTGTGCATTTTAAAATTGGGCTGTCTTTATGTTGTTGAGTTGTAAGATATTTTTATTTATTTATATATTTTGGATACTAGATCCTAATCACAGATATGATTTGCAAAACATTAAATTATATGCTTTGTTTCTATTCCTACTAGGTCAGCTATCACATTGAAATGAGCTTCTTTGAAGTATATAATGAAAAAATTCATGACCTTCTGGTTTGTAAAGGTGAAAATGGGCAGAGAAAGCAACCAGTAAGATTAAAGCAATTTATTATTGGTTTTGAATTTCTGTTATTATAAATGCATCTAATTATATGAGTTCTCTGGATGATATAGCTTAAATTTTTACTGTAATTCTATGATAGCATATGCTTGAACCTACAGTCTAATTTAGGAATAAGTGGAACATTGGCCAGGTGCAGTGGCTCACCCCTATAATCCCAGCATTTTGGGAGGCTGAGGAGGGTGGATTGCCTGAGCTCAGGAGTTCGAGGCCAGCCTGGGCAATACAGTGAAACCTTGTCTCTACTAAAATACAAAAAAAAAAACAACAAAAAAATTAGCTAGGCATGGTAGCGTGTGCCTGTAATCCCAGCTACTCGGGAGGATGAGGCAGGAGAATTGCTTGAACCCAGGAGGTGGGGGCTGCATTGAGCCAAGATCGCGCCGCTATACTCCAGCCTGAGCAACAGAGTGAGACTCTGTCTCCAAAAAAGAAAGAAAAGAAGCAGAACATTATCATTAGTAGAAATTAAATTAGTTATTAGATTTAACCTCTTTATTTTGATCAAGAATTGTGTAAAACTAAAGATAAAATATTTGTTCCAAGATTTAGTTGGACCACATAAATTGAACACCAGATTTCTAATAGTCTATAAGCCAAAACGTAGTAAAAGTTTTAAAAATTATGTTTTTATTATAGAATATGTATTTCAATGGATTATTTAGCAAATTCATGCCTTGTAGATAATCTGTGAAATAGAAAGTTTCACAATTATATCATCTTTTCAAAAAACTGCTATTCAACTTTAAAATTTTTAAGTTTGCAGTGAACCTTGGAACACAATTAAAAAAAATCTAAAGAAGTCAGCTGCCTTCTTCACTTGCCCGTGGTCATACAGTTTACTATTGGCAACATCAAGAAGCTTAAACAAAACTTGACATTTGCTTCTATGATTTCTATATGTTTAAAGCCTTTTTTTGAGACAGAGTCTCTGTCCCCCAGGCTGAAGTGCAGTGGTGCAGTCTTGGCTCACTGCAACCTCCACCTCCCAGGTTCAAGTGATTCTCCTGCCTCAGCCTCATGAGTAGCTGGGATTATAGGCACTCGCCATCATGCCCAGCTAATTTTTTGTATTTTTAGTAGAGTTGGGTTTTCACCATGTTGGCCAGGGTGGTCTCGAACTCCTGACCTCGTGATTCACCCACCTCAGCCTCCCAAAGTGCTGGGATTACAGGTGTGAGCCACCGTGCCCAGTCAGAAACATTTTAATGTCTAAAATTTAACAATATGTTTTAGAGAGCATTTAAAAGTGTATAAACCATAGCTACTGCAAGGTTTAGCATTCAAATGTCTTACTGGAAAACTAGGAAGACAAGCTGGGTTCAGTGGCTCATGCCTGTAATCCCAGCACTTTAGGAGGTCGAGGTGGCAGGATCACTTGAGGTCAGGAGTTCCAGACAGGCCTGGCCAACATGGTGAAACGCTGTGTCACCATGGCTACAAAAGTTTGCCAGTGTGGTACGGCTGTCTTGTTATCCCAGCTACTCAGGAGGCTGAGGTAGGAGAATGGCTTGAACCAGGGATGTGGAGGTTGCAGTGAGCCAAGATTACACCACTGCACTCCAGCCTGGGTGACAGAGTAAGACTCCATCTCAAAAGACAAAACAAACAAGAAAACCAGTAAGACATCTGCTCTATTAGACAATTCTAATAGCAATCTTTTAAGAATAAAAAACTAGTGAGACATTTGATGTTACACTATGTTGTTGCATATTGTGCTACTATAAACAGTTTTTTATATCTAAGCTATTTCCTAATGCCTTACAGATTTGTTTTTGTGAGAGCTTTTCTGTGTGTGTGTGTGTGTTTTTTTTTTTCCTGGATAAAATAAAGATAAATCTCTTACCTTAAACTCAAAATACAGAAAAAGAGAGCATTTAAAATTATATGAAATATTTGTCATACTCCTAATGATTCATGTATTTGCTTCTACTAGCTGAGAGTAAGGGAGCATCCTGTTTATGGACCATATGTTGAAGCACTGTCAATGTAAGTGTTTGGCTCTGCAAAGGCAAGGAGGGTAAAACAAATGAGTAGAGTGAATGTTACTCTCCCATAGTCTTTATTGTATTCTCATTGGCCTTCCTAGCTTGGAAACCCTGGGTAACTATTTAGACTTCTACCCTTGATATTGCCCAGTTAAGTTTCCCCTCTCTTTCCATAGAGTGTTAGTTATTTGTTTTTATACTTGCTTGTATCTTTCACAGTACCTGTAAAGTGTCTGGCATGGAGTATTCATTATACTGAGTATGAAGTAAATATTTGCTTTTTCTCCCTTTTACCCCTTCCTTTCATCATTAATTAAATCTTCCCTTGCAACTGCTTTTTTATACCTATGACTCTAAGCTAAACAGAAGGTAGTAAGAAGGGTTAAGAGTTTAATACTTACCTAGAGTCACTTACTTTCTTTTTCAACACTCCAAATTCTTTCTTAAAGGAAAGGAAAAGTGATTAAGTATTAACTCAGCTGCATTTAATATATCTGGGATTGTATTGGAACCCACATACACCCACATATAAATATACCTATACATATACATATGTGTTAAAGTCTATCTTTTGGTATTGTGATTTAGACTTGAAAGTTATGTTAAAATGCTAAGGTGCTTCATTGTGTTAAGAAAAATCATAATTTTTGTTAAGATTAAAGCATTATTTTATTTCCTGTCCTTTAAGAATGGGGAAAATAAAAGATTCTGGGAGAATCAGTAAAATAATATTCATGAATTAGTCCATTGTGATCTTCAGAGAGTAATTATGTAATTGAAATGTTATTACTTTATGAGAACAAGAGTATAATCATCAGTAAAATTGATTTTGTCTTTTCACTTCTTAAAAATAGGAATGTTGTCAGTTCTTATGCTGATATCCAGGTAAGATTTATTGTATTTTGTCTTCTTTTCACTAGATAGAAAGAGCATAATCCTAAATATTCATAAGAATATTTTTTCTTAATTGTTGTTTTACAAATAAAAAGTTAAGTTTCCTTAATTTATCACAAACTGATTTTAAGTTTTAATCAAAATAATTGCTCTTCATATTTAAAATAAATATTGACCTTCATGTAAGCTTAGAGTTACAGAAACAGCCTTTTAAAGTTATTATTTCCTGCCTCTGATTTCTATGTCAGAAAAATGGCAATGGGAATACAAATTATTAAAAGATAAATACTCATTTAATTTTATAAATTAATTACAAATGTGTATATCTTATTTCTCTTAATTTTTATACCAATGAATTACAGTCTGCTGATCTGATCTGCCTTCCTTTTTCCTTATAAGAGTTGGCTAGAATTGGGAAATAAACAGAGAGCTACTGCTGCTACTGGTATGAATGATAAAAGTTCCCGATCTCATTCCGTTTTCACCCTGGTGATGACCCAGACCAAGGTATTTTGTTTTCCACAAGCAAGATAGTAAATACATTTAAGTTTCATGTTTTTCTTATTATCTTCTTTAAATCAAAACATAAAAGTACAGCCATATAAATATATACACTTAATTTGATTGTAGGAAATATACCCAAGTTTGAATGACTTTTGGTCGATGACCAAATGATGTATGGCAGTATACTGTTTACCAGATTTTTAAACCAATAATAGATGCTTGTTATCATAATACTATTGATATGAGCATATCAACATATTATAGTATATTTTACATAATATATAGTAATTATACAAGTATTTAGAAAAACATCAGAAAGCAAAAGATTTTTAAAAATTTAGCCATAGGTTTCACTACTCAGATAAACCCCTCTAAACATTTTGTTATATAATCTTTCGGGTTTTTTTTACCATCACAATTAAATTCACTTAAAATCACACTGTTAAAATCTGTAACAATTTTATATTACTAAAATTTTTATAAAGTAATTTTTAATAGCTATATAATATTCCATTAACTATTACAGTTCCTCAAGTTTTTCTCTACTGTTAGACTTTGTATTATTTTTAAATGTTTTGCTGTTATAATGCTGGGATAAGCAACATCTTTGTGCATTAAACTTTTTCTCTATTGTTATTTCCATAATATAACTGAGTGGTTACAGATTTTAATCTCTAAAGCAATTTCTTTTATTTTGGCATAATCTATCCACTGCTCAATATATTTTCAGTAGACTTTGTGAATATTTTTATGTTATAAATTATCACAGTTTTACCAAGGGATGATTTTAGGCCAGGTGCGGTGGCTCACTCCTGTAATCCCAGCAATTTGGAGGCTGAGGCAGGAGGATCACTTGAGCTCAGGAGTTTGAGACCAGCCTGAGCAACATAGTGAGACCTTGTCTGTACTAAAAATAAAAAAAATTAGCAGGTATAGCAGTGCGTGCCTCTGGTCCCAGCTACTCAGGAACCTGAGGTGGGAGAATTGCTTGAACACAGCTGATTGAGGCTGCAGTGAGCCGTGATCATGCCATTGCACTCCAGCCTGTGTGACAGAGCGAGACCCTGTCTCAAAAAAAAAGAAGAGACGATTTTAAAAATAAATGAGTGATGTGTAATCTTGTACAACTTTCCTTTTAAAAAACTTCTATTGATAGCAAGTCATAGAACTTAAATTATTTTCAATTAATATCATTTTGCTATAGACAGAATTTGTGGAAGGGGAAGAACACGATCACAGAATAACGAGTCGAATTAACCTAATAGATCTGGCAGGCAGCGAGCGCTGCTCTGCGGCTCACACTGGTGGGGATCGACTGAAGGTAAATGGGATGCTTTTCTCCTTTCAATGAAGTTTATTGCTGAGGTCATTATTTTTAAGGATAATACAAATTTAATACACTTAACCCCCCCAAATGTATCTTTATCTGCAGTTTATAGACTGCAATGCTGTGGTTGAAAAAGAGATACATACTTTTTGGTTATGACTAACTTTTAAAGAAAATAAGTTTTTGCCTGGTGCGGTGGCTCGTGCCTGTAAGGCTGAGGCAGGTGGATCACAAGGTCAAGAGATCGAGACTATCCTGGCCGACACAATGAAACCCCGTCCCTTCTGAAAATACAAAATGTAGCTGGGCGTGGTGGTGCACACGTGTAATCCCAGCTATTCAGGAGGCTGAGGCAGGAGAATTGCTTGAACCTGGAAGGCAGAGATTGCAGTGAGCCCAGATTGTGCCACTGTGCTCCAGCCTGGTGACAGAGTGAGACTCCATCTCAAAAAAAACAAAAAGGAAAGAAAATAAATTTTGAGTCATAAAAAAGTTGGTTGTTTATAGAAAAAAGTATTTATAGACAGGTGTTGTGCCATGTGTCTGTAGTCCCAGCTAATCAAGAGGCTCAGGTGGGAGGATCGCTTGAGCCTGGATGGTCGAGGTTCCAGTGAGCCATGTTTGTGCCTCTGCACTCCAGCCTGGGCAACAGAGTGAGACTCTGTCTCAAAAAAAAGAAAAGAAAAAAGTATTTACTCAGACATAGGAGGGGAGAAGTATGTTTTGTAAAATAAATTTCTTATTGAGAAGTTATTTTAAGTTAAATTTCTTTTTTCCTTTTATGCAGGAAGGTGTGAGTATTAATAAGTCCTTGCTAACTTTGGGAAAAGTTATATCTGCACTCTCTGAACAAGCAAACCAAAAGAGAGTTTTTATTCCTTATCGTGAATCTGTTCTTACATGGCAAGTATCTTTTGAAGTATAAAGAACTGCATAAAATATAGTGAATACTATGGGGAAAAGAATGATAGACTGACTTCATTAACTTTGGGATGGAGAAAAGTGGTAAGCATTATGAATTCTAGAGCCAAACTACCTGGACTTGAATCTCAGTTCAGCATCTTAAAAACCCCTGTGACTTTGGGCAAATTACTTAATATTCTAGCCTGTTTCCTCATCTGTAAAATAGGGATAAAATCAATACCTTTTAGGGGTAAGTGAGGATTAAATTATTCGTATAAAATTCTTAGTACATAATATGTACCATATGAGTGTAAATAATTATTCTTGTACTTAACTATTATTTGTCCCCGATGTTTGAACGTATATGGTACTACCAAACATATTGCTATTTGTATAAAGAGAAATTGAATCATTTTGTTTGCGTAGCACACAGTGCTAATATGTGGGTGTTCAATAAATGTTTTCATTAATGAATGTAGATTTAATTTTCAGTATGTTACATTCAGATTACATCTGTATGGATTTAATATTCTGATATTAATATACAGTTCTGATTAATATAGTTCTGATATTAATATACAGTTAGTATACAGGCATTAATATACAGTTATGATAAGGACTACATCTCTACTTGAGGGCAATCTGTCTTTATAATTGGTTAATTATAATGTGGTTCCCACCTTGAAACCTATAAGGGAAAATCTTATTTTTTTCATGTCTTCTGAAAGTTAAAAATAGTGACATTCCTTCTGCACTGATACATGTTTTAAGTCTCATACCCTCTTTTTTTCTCTAAAGATTTTGCATATAGTACAATATAGAATTTTTGTTTCAATGTTCATTCATCGTTTTCAACATTTATTGAGCACCTGCTTCAAAAGGTTGTGATAGCACTGGAAATACAAAGATGACCGAGCCACATAGTCCCTTCCTTATGTAGCTCACACTGTTGTAAGAGGAGAGGTATCTTAAGGAATATTTGGTGGTTAACCACATTTTAAAGTCTGCACAGACTGTTGCCTCATGAAACAATATAAAAAGTGTAAGAGAAAAAAAGTGTTTATGAGATCTAGAAATGGTTACAAACACCAGAAAAAGTTTTAAATGGTATTTGAGTAGAATATAATAGTACTGTATTATGTACCCTATTAGTTTGTTTTGTGCTTTCTTGATAACTACTGTTATTAGGTTGTTGTAGAAGCAAAGTCTAATTATGACTTTTTTTCCTTGCAGGCTGTTAAAAGAAAGTCTGGGTGGAAATTCAAAAACTGCAATGATTGCTACGATTAGTCCCGCTGCCAGCAACATAGAAGAAACATTAAGCACACTTAGATATGCTAACCAAGCCCGTTTAATAGTCAACATTGCCAAAGTAAATGAAGATATGAATGCTAAGTTAATTAGAGGTGAATATTTTCTCAGAATTTAAAAATTATTTTGCCACAGTTTACTCCCAAATATTAGTTGTAGTCTTAAAATATGTAATTTATGAAAATCAAAGGTTTTTTTTCTGTACCTATTTTAATAGATTCTAGTCATTAGCCTGTAGTGATGGAGTATGATAGGTAGAAGGGCAGAGTGAAAGAGAATAAGTAATAAGGAGAAAAACAATCAGAAGAAAACCCACAGAGAACAGAGTATGGGTAAAGGGGAAACAGCAAGCATTAAACAATACATTTACAGACTGAGTCATAGATGTGTACAGCAAAATACCAATGAAACTATTTGTTATTTTTCTTTTATGACCTTTCTTCCATTATCGTTTTATGTACTAGCTCTGCTCATGCTTAGTTCATTGATCCAAAGGCAATTTAAGCTTGAGTTTCTAACATAGGCTGAACTTATTTATGCTAAATACTGCTTTCTCTTTATCTCTAGCTAATCATCAATTTAGAATAGACTTTAATGCCTGCAAGATTTCTTGATTTGTACAGTTTTATCTTTGCTGATGTAGAACTATCATGTTTTCATCGCCCTTTGTCTTCTGGCCCTTTTTAGCAGCAGCAGGTGATAGACATTTCAGATGTGTGAGCCAGGGAAGAATCTGTTTTCTCTATTCTGATCCATCCTTTCCCTTTTGGATCCCTTCTATTTCATGAATGGGACTGTTTTCATTAAAAATAAGTATTCCGGGCTGGGCATGGTGGTTCATGCCTGTAATCCGAGCACTTTGGGAGGCCAAGGCAGGTGGGTCACTTGAGGTCAGGAGTTTGAGAGCAGCCTGACCAACATGGTGAAACCCCATCTCTACTAAAAATACAAAAATTAGCTGGGCATGCTGGTGGGTGCTTGTAATCCCAGCTACTCAGGAGGCTGCTGCAGGAGAATTGCTTGAGCCCGGGAGGTGGAGGTTGCGGTGAGCTGAGATTGCACCACTGCACTCTGCCTAGGGTGACAGTGAGACTCTGTCTCAAAAATAAAGTAAAATAAAATAAAATAAGTATTCTGAATTCTAGCTGGAAAAATCTTTGATCTTGGCTGCTCTGCCTAGTGAGTAGGCATTCTTTTATTCCTTTACTTTTTAAATAAACATACTTTAACAGTCCCCCCTTTGCCTCTCAAAAGTGTCCCACTTTGGTCGATACATTATATAGCTTTTGTACTTATGAACAGGGAAAAATCATTAATATGGGAGCATATTTCAGGTTAAGACTAAGTAAAGATTTACAGGTTATAAAAGTAAAGCTGATTTTTCCAATATTCTGTTTTATTTAGTAATACTGTATTAAAAACCTCAAATGAAATGGAAGATTGTAGGATTGTGCTTACTATGGAAATCATTATATATTAAATGTAACTTTCATGCATCTTTGTATAAATCTTCAGAATTGAAGGCAGAAATTGAAAAGCTAAAAGCTGCTCAGAGAAACAATCGGAATATTGACCCTGAACGATACAGGCTCTGTCGGCAAGAAATAACATCCTTAAGAATGAAACTGCATCAGCAGGAGAGAGACATGGCAGAAATGCAAAGGTAGAATATAGTCAGTCCTTTAAATGTTAAGTCTGTTGCTGTGGAATCATAGGACTGGTAGGGACCCCAAGAGGATACTGAATCTTTTCCCCTACCTTCCTTATGAATAGAGCAGCCCAATCCCAGACTATCATATTTTAAATATTACTGGATAGTTCCCTAATTTTCGCTGATTGATTGTCTCTTGACTCTCAGTCTTATATGTCTGGATGTTTTTAACTCTTATTTTCTTTGTCTTTGGAAAGACTATGGAAAGAAAAGTTTGAACAAGCTGAAAAAAGAAAACTTCAAGAAACAAAAGAGTTACAGGTATCATTTCAACTTTCTCAACTGATTTGAAAATAAAATAAATATGCCAAGAAATAAATATTGCCAATATGCCAATGCATGTAAATTTAGTGTTTCAAATACTTACTGTATACTGCCTCTGTACAAAGCAATACCATAAGGAAAATTAATATAAAGAAATGTTAAGATCAAGATTGATTGCTTAGAGCTAGCCCATTAAGCTAGTTGGAAAGTTGAGAGTATGAATAAACCATCTTGTAATATTTACTTTGGTTTCACAGATACATATTAAATGTCTATGCTGTGCCAGGAACAGGGGAAGCCAAGGTTATTAAATACAGTTTCATCCCTCAGAGAGCTTGTGATCCAGAGAAAGATTTACAAAATGTAAATAGAAGACTAAAATGCAACATGATTTCATTAGATCGAGCCATAAGCAATTCCATTTTTCTAGGTAAAGAATGGTTGAACACTGGCAGTTTCATATGGTTGAAACTTACGTAATGAAAAGTATTTCAAGTGATTGGCAGTGGGACAGTACTATAAGAATTCAGGAGAAGGAAGGAAAATTCCTTGGGCATGGCCAGTCCAACCTCATAGAAGAGGTGGCATTTGAGATGGGCTTTGAAGTTTGCATAAGATTTTAATAGGAAGAGAAAAGGAACAGAGCATTCTCTGAAGAGGAAATTTTGTGAAAGTAAAGGTAGAAAAGTTTGAGGTGTCTTTAGAAAGGTTGTGTGGATCAGTTTTATTGGAAGTAGTTTATATGAGATCATAAGGAGATAAAATTGGAAAGATACGTTAAGATTAGTTTATGAAGGACTTGATTTCCAAGCCAAGGAAATCAAGTTTTATCCTGTAGAAAGTGAGAAGCTGTTGAAAGTGACCAGGGAATTTACATTATGAGGGTACCCGTTCAAGAGAATTAATCTGGGTTAGGATATGAGATGGCTTGATAACAGAAGGTGTTGACAGTGATCAGGAGACTGCTTCAGTAGTTTTGGTGTGAGTTGACAGGGGCCTGACTAAGGTGATGGCAATGAAGATGCAACAAAAGAAACTGATCTATTCTGAAGACGGCCAGTCGATAAGAATAGACACAATTTAGTGATGTTAGATTGATATATGAGTAGACTGAGGATGGTGAAGGACAAAGAAGGTAACAGTTACAGGGAGGTCACAAAGGAGAGATTCTAAGGAAGGAGGAGAGAGTCTAAAAAATGTTTATGGCCGGGTGTGGTGGCTCACGCTTGTACTCCCAGCACTTGGGGTGGCCAAGGCGGGTGGATCACCTGAGGTCAGGAGTTTGAGATCAGCCTGGCCAACATGACACAACCCCGTCTCTACTAAAAATACAAAAATTAGCTGGGTGCAGTGGCATGTGCCTGTAGTCCCAGCTACTCGGGAGCCTGAGGCAGGAGGATCCCTTGAACCTTTGAGGCAGAAGTTGCAGCGAGCTAAGATTGCACCACTGCACTCCAGCCTGGATGACAGGATGAGACTCTGTCTCAAAAAAAAAAAAAAAAAAAAAAATGTAAAAATCTAATTTGTTGAGACTTCTTATAGAAATTGTTCTAATGTTTAATATAGACTATTTGTTTTAGGTGAATTTAACAATTTCATACTGTGATTAAGATTAATTTCTTTTTCTGACTTCTACCAGAAAGCAGGAATTACATTTCAAATGGACAATCATTTGCCAAACCTTGTTAATCTGAATGAAGATCCACAGCTATCAGAGATGCTGCTATATATGATAAAAGAAGGAACAACTACAGTTGGAAAGTATAAGCCAAACTCAAGCCATGATATTCAGTTATCTGGGGTGCTGATTGCTGATGATCATTGGTATGTTAATCCTCTAAAATAAAAAAGGCACCTGTTCTATATCTTGATAACATGTGGTTTCCTTCATATGGCATATTCTCTGATGCTGACCGTTTGGTATAATTTTTCAAACTCATTGTTTGGCCAGGAAAAACATACATTCTGCATGTTTTGTAAGGAAGACAAGGTCAGTTACTCTCAATATAAAGTACAGTGTAATGCTCTCTCTGTTTTTGTTTTGGCATCCTTGATCTGTTGATTGAAGAATAGTATCTCTTTTGCAATTATAATGATGCACATGAAAGTAAACCATGTATCTTACATAGCAGAATTTTTGGTTGGATTGACCAATTTAAAAATGTTTTATGTTAATTTTGTTCATTACAATGGAATAATACTTCTGTATATTGTTGGAATGATAATGTATGTAAACTTTTGTGACTCTGCATTGTGTTTCTAAGATTTATGTACATTGGTCCTGTTTTATTTTCACTGCTACGAAGTATTCCATTGTATGAATTTATCTCTTATAAAATTTAGGAAGCACTTTTTAAGAGTAAAGATAATAGGTTTTAGAATATGTACATGTTCAACTTCAGTAGATAATTTCAAGTTGTTTTCCAAAATGATTACCAGTTTTTATTCCCATTGGCATTGAGAATACGTGTTATTCCACATCCTTGCCAATACTTGGTACTGTCAGATTTTAATTTATGCCAATCTGATGAACATAAAATATTATCTTTTTATGGATTCATTACATTTCTGGTTAGTAATAAGGTTGAACATCTTTTCATGTGTAGATTGGCCATTTTTGCTTACTATTCTGTGACTTGACTGTCCATGTCTTCTATTTTTCAACTGATTCATTTGTTTCTTAATAATTTGTAGGAGTTGCCAATCCTTCATGAGCTTTCTGGTGTAACTATATATATATGTTTTAGGATTTTAACCTTTTTAAAAATATATATATATTTTATTGCACTTTAGGTTCTGGGGTACATGTGCAGAACATACAGGATTGTTGTGTAGGTACATATATGGCAATGTGGTTTGCCGCCTCCATCCCTCCGTCACCTATATCTGGCATTTCTCCCCATGTTATCCCTCCCAAACCTCCTTACCCCCCTGCTGTCCCTCCCCTATTCCCCCAAACAGACCCCAGTGTGTGATGCTCCCCTCCCTGTGTCCATATGTTCTCGTGTTTCAACACCCGCCTATGAGTGAGAACATGTGGTGTTTGATTCTTGTGTCAGTTTGCTGAGGATGATGGTTTCCAGATTCATCCATGTCCTTACAAAGGACACGAACTCATGGTTTTTTATGGCTTCATAGTATTCCATGGTGTATATATGCCATATTTTCCTTGTCCAGTCTATCGTCAGTGGGCATTTGGGTTGGTTCCAGATCTTTGCTATTGTAAACAGTGCCGCTATGAACATACGTGTGCATGTGTCTTTATAATAAAATGATTTATAATCCTTTGGGTATATACCCAGTAATGGGATTGCCGGGTCAAATGGAATTTCTATTTCTAGGTCCTTGAGGAATCACCACACTGTCTTCCACAATGGTTGAACTCATTTATACTCCCACCAACAGTGTAAAAGTGTTCCTATTTCTCCACATCCTCTCCGGCATCTGTTGTCTCCAGATTTCTTAATGACCGCCGTTCTAACTGGTGTGAGATGGTATCTCAATGTGGTTTTGATTTGCATTTCTCTAATGGCCAGTGATGATGAGCATTTTTTCATATGTTTGTTGGCTTCATATATGTCTTCTTTTGAAAAGTGTCTGCTCATGTCCTTTGCCTACTTTTGAATGGGTTTATTTGTTTTTTTCTTGTAAATCTGTTTTAGTTCTTTGTATATTCTGGATATTAGCCCTTTGTCAGATGGGTACATTGTAAAATTTTTTTCGAATTCCGTTGGTTGCCGGTTCACTCTAATTAATGATTGTTTCTTTTGCTTAAGCTCTGGAGTTTAGTTAGCTCCCATTTGTCTATTTTGGCTTTTGTTGCCAATGCTTTTGGTATTTTAGTCATGAAGTCCTTGCCTATGCCTATGTCCTGAATGGTTTTGCCTAGGTTTTCTTCTAGGGGTTTTATGGTGTTAGGTCTTATGTTTATGTCTTTAATCCATCTGGAGTTAATTTTAGTGTAAGGGGTCAGGAAGGACTCCAGTTTCTGTTTTCTGCACATGGCTAGCCAGTTTTCCCAACACCATTTGTTAAACAGGGAATCCTTTCCCCATTGCTTGTTTTTGTCAGGTTTGTCAAAGATCAGATGGTTGTAGATGTGTGGCATTGCCTTTAATGACTCTGTTCTGTTCCATTGGTCTGTATCCCTGTTTTGATACCAGTACCATGCTGTTTTGATTACTGTAGCCTTGTAGTATAGTTTGAAGTCAGGCAGTGAGATGCCTCCAACTTTGTTCTTTTTGCTTAGGATTGTCTTGGCTATGTGGGCTCTCTTTTGGTTCCATATGAAGTTTAAGGTGGCTTTTTCCAGTTCTGTGAAGAGGGTCATAGGTAGCTTGATGGGGATAGCATTGAATCTATAAATTACTTTGGGCAGTATGGTCATTTTCACAATATTGATTCTTCCTAACCATGAACATGGAATGTTTCTCCATCTGTTTGTGTCCTCTCTTACTTCCTTGAGCAGTGGTTTGTAGTTCTCCTTGAAGAGATCCTTTACATCCTTTGTTAGTTGTATTCCTAGATATTTTATTCTCTTTGTAGCAATTGTGAATGGGAGTTCACTGATGATTTTGCTCTCTGTTAGTCTGTTGTTGGTGTATAGGAATGTTTGTGATTTCTGCACATTGATTTTGTATCCTGGGACTTTGCTGAAGTTGCTTATCAGTTTCAGGAGATTTTGGGCTGAGATGATGGGTTCTACTAAATATACATCATGTCGTCTGCAAATAGAGACAATTTGACTTCCTCCATTTCTAACTGAATACTCTTTATTTCTTTTTCTTACCTGATTGCTCTGGCTAGGACTTCCAATACTATATGGAATAGGATTGGTGAGAGAGGGCATCCTTGTCTAGTGCCAGATTTCAAAGGGAATGCTTCCAGTCTTTGCCCATTCAGTATGATATTGGCTGTGGGTTTGTCTTAAATAGCTTTTAATATTTTGAGATATGTTCCATTGATACCTTGGTTATTGAGAGGTTTTAGCATAAAGGGCTGTTGAATTTTGTTGAAGGCCTTCTCTGCATCTCTTGAGATAATCATGTGGTTTTTGTCTTAGGTTCTGTTTATGTGGTGAATTACATTTATAGACTTGTGTATGTTGAACCAGCCTTGCATCCTCGGGATGAAGCCTACTTGATCATGCTGGATAAGCTTTTTGATGTGCTGTTGCAATTGGTTCGCCAGTATTTTATTGAAGATTTTTGCATCTATGTTCATCATGGATATTGGCCTGAAGTTTTCTTTTTTTGTTGAGCCTCTGCCAGTTTTGGTATCAGGATGATGTTGGTCTCATGAAATGATTTGGGAAGGATTCCCTCTTTTTTTATTGTTTGGAATAGTTTCAGAAGGAGTAGTACCAGCTCCTCTTTGTATGTCTGGTAGAATTCAGTTGTGAACCCATCTGGACCTTGACTTTTTTTGGTTGGTAGGCTCTTAATTGCTGCCTCAACATCAGCTTTTGTTATTGGTCTTTTCAGGGTTTCGACTTCTTTCTGGTTTAGAAGTCTAAACCAGGGAGGGTGCAAGTGTCCAGGAATTTATCCATTTCTTCCAGGTTTACTGGTTTATGTGCATAGAGTTGTTTGTAGTAATCTCTGATGGTGGTTTGTATTTCTGTGGAATGGGTGGTGATAGCCCCTTTATCGTTTTTTATTGCATCTATTTGATTCTTCTCTCTTTTCTTTTTTATTAATCTGGCTGGTGGTCTGTCTATTTTGTTGATCTTTTCAAAAAACCAGCTCTTGGATTTATTGATTTTTTTGAAGGGTTTTTTGTGTCTCTATCTCCTTCAGTTCTGCTCTGATCTTAGTTATTTCTTGTCTTCTGCTAGCTTTTGAGTTTTTTTGATTTTACTCCTCTAGCTCTTTCAATTTTGATGATGTTGGTTTTAGATCTTTACTTGCTTCTCATGTGGGAATTTATTGCTATAAATTTCCCCCTAGACACTGCTTTAAATGTGTCCCAGAGATTCTGGCACGTTGTGTCTTTGTTCTCGTTGGTTTCAAAGAACATCTTTATTTCTGTCTTCTAGATGTTTTGAAGTTTTGCTTTCACATTTAAGTTCTTGGATGTCTGGAATTTTTTATTGGGTGTGAATTAGGGATCTAAATTCATTTATTTTCCATGTGAATAGCCGTTTCTCTCAGTACCATATGTTAAATAGTTTATTGCTTCTTTTGGGATCTATAGCACTCCTACAAAAAATTTCTAAAAATATGGGAAACTGTTTCTTCCTACTAATACCCTATAGTCTTTTAATTACTTGAGCTTTGTAATGAATCGATCTTTCTTTCTTTCTATTCTTTTCTTTTCTTTCTTGTTGGAGTTTTGTTCAGGCTGGAGTGCAACGGCACCGTCTCAGCTCACTGCAATCTCTGCCTCCTGGGTTCAAGGAATTCTCCTGCCTCAGCCTCCCGAGTAGCTAGGATTATAGGCACCCACTACCATACCTGGGAAATCTTTGTATTTTCAGTAGAGATAGGGTTTCACTATGTTGACCAGGCTGGTCTCAAACTCCTGACCTCAGGTGATCAGCCCATCTCGGCCTCCCAAAGTGCTGGGATTACAGGTGTGAGCTACCGCACCTGGCCTGTAATGAATCTTTATATCTTTTTTCTTGTTTTTTGAGATGGAGTTTCATTCTGTCACCCAGGCTGGAATGAAGTGGTATAATCTTGGCTCACTGTAACCTCTAGCCCTGGGTTCAAGCAATTCTCATGCCTTAGCCTTTCTGGTAGCTGGGATTATAGGTGCATGCCACCACGCCCAGCTGATTTTTGTATTTTTAGTAGTGACAGTTTTGCCATGTTGGTCAGGCTGGTCTCCAACTCCTGACCTCATATGATCCACCCACCTTGGCCTCCCAAAGTTCTGGGATTACAGGTGTAATCCAGAGCCACCACACCTGACCATGAATCTTTATATCTGGTAGGGCATATCCTCGTTTCTTTAGGTTCTTTTGTTTTCCTATTAATTATTTTATTTAACAAATAAATACAGTATTATTAACATCTGTGACAAAGATACAGAACATGCTCCCAAAGAGTTAAGAGTCCACTAAGGAACTTGGAAGCCCACTGCTTGCCTCTAAGTCTCTACTTTCATTTTTATTCCCTTCGTCAGTTTATCTCATTCAGTAGACCGTGAACTTCATGAGAGCTGGTTTCATGTCTGTCTGCATTGCTGACACATACCTGGCGCTTGGAGGCTTAATGAATAAGAGAACTCCATGGCTGAGGCTGGTCATATGAAAGAGATAAAAAGAACTTCAGTATCCATTAATGCATATTATGTGTTAGATGAGTACTGCATTCTTACTACTTAAAAGTAAAGAGAAGGCAGAATTGACTTCTAATTTAAGCCCTAAAGAATAGCTTCTTGGAGGACTGAAAGTTGCACCTTCAAGAATGGTTGCAATAAGGGAGAGGATGTGACTTTTCTTAACCTCTGGAAGGAATGACTCAAAGAAAGGAAAGCTGACATTAAGGCAAATTCAGAGCATTCATATGGTTGGTTTAGTGTGAAATGGAGTTCTTATGGGGAAATAGTGGCAGATGAGGGAGGTTGGTGGTTGAAGCGAGATTGTGGGGAGTTCAGAATTGTAGGCCATGGAATTTTGAGAGCAGAGTGGACAGAATTAGGAAAGGAAAGGGATCAGAACAAGCGCACTTTGTGGATAAGGCACTAGACCGGTGGGAGGGATATAATGCCTAAGGATGAACTGTTTTTTCTATATACTTTTCTCTAGATGCTTTAATTGAACTATTGTTCTCCAATTACAGATCTTGGAGCCTAATCAACAGCTAAAAAGGTCTTTGGTTAGGACTCAGCTTTTGTTGCAGTTTTCCTTTTCTTTCTATCCAGTTAATCCAAAGATGAATTGGACTTTGGAGTTTATTTCCTATTCCCTGAATAAACAGACTCAAAGAAATATATAGCACTTATAGCTGATTTTCCACAGTATCACCTTATCATCCAGTTGATTAGGTGACTTGAGTATGTTTTCATCTCCATGCTTTTTTTTTCCTCTGTAGTACCCCACTTTTTTCAAGAGGGGAAAAATATTTGTTCTTTCTGTTTTTAAAGCTCATATGTAAAACTATCAACTTAGAAATTTAAAAAGCACTTAAAACTGTTTTATTCAAAAGAAATAGGTGTCAATGTGTTAATGTTTTTTGCTTTAGGTTTTGTTTTTTTTTTTAATTTTTTGGGGAAGTTTTTTGTTTGTTTTTCAAAGAAGTTATAATGAAAATACATCCAATGAAAAATGTTTCCACAGCTGGTGGATCGGATTGCTAGAGGCCAGGTTTTTTTCACCAAACTTCAAAATCTAGTTGGATGCTGGGCACAGTGGCTCATGCCTGTAATCCCAGCACTTTGGAATACTTGAGGTCAGGAGTTCAAGATCAGCATGGCCAACATGGCAAAACCTTGTCTCTACTAAAATACAAACATTAGCTGGGCATAGTGAGGGGTGCCTGTAATTCCACTACTTGGGATGCTTAGGTGGGAGGATTGCTTGAACCTAGGAGGCAGAGGTTGCAGTGAGCTGAGATTGCACCACTACACTCCAGCCAAGGCGACAGAGCAAGACTCCGTCTCAAAACAACAACAGCAACAACAACAAATCTAGTTGGAGGAAAATAAAATAACCTTGTTATTATTGCATATTGGTATGAACCTTAACACCAAAGGAATAGCCCAAGAAGAATTATCCCATATTGCCTTTTTCTTATGTTTTAGTGTGTTCTATAATTGTAACAATGTGTTTCTTATTTTAACAGTATTATCAAAAATTTTGGTGGAACAGTGAGTATTGTCCCAGTTGGGGAAGCAAAGACATACATAAATGGAAAACATATTTTGGAACTCACAGTATTACATCATGTAAGTGGATGGGTGCTACGGCATAAGAAACTGTTTGACTTTAGAAAAGCCATTGAATTGCTTTGAGTTGTAGTTTCCTCTCTAAGGTAAGGGTGTTGAAGTAGATTAAGGACTTCTTCGTTTCAAAATTAATTTTCCTATTAATTGCTTTCTTTTGTGCAAAGACAGAAGTTACGTTTATATGAATCAGTACCTGAAGAGCTGACCACTAGCAGTATCAGTAGGTGTCCTATAAGAGCTAGGCTTTAGAATCAGACCAGATAGGGTTGAAACCTTGGCTTTGCCATTGTTACGTGACTTTTGGCAAATTATTTAACTAGGTGATCAAACAATATCACCCAAGTCAGGACACTTTTGAGATCATTATTAATCATTACATCAGGAGAAAAAATGTCAGCAGTATGTTGCAGGCAAACCCAGATGCCTTGTGACTTTATATATCCTGCCTTTCAGGGATAGTGAAGGATCAACAGAAATAGTAATTTGTGTATATAGTTCCTACAACAGTATCTGCAAATAGTAAGCTCTCAAAGAATATCTGTTGTTACTAAGCTTTGTGCTCTTTGGTTTCCTCATTCCAAAAATTGGCATGATTATATATATCTCACTGAGTTGTTGTGAGTCGTAAATGTGATAACATGCTGTCATGCACCTCAGGATGTTTTGGGCAGTGAGGGACCACATATACAACAGCGGTCCCATAACACTATAATACTGTATTTTTACTATTTTGTTTTCTGTTTAGATATACAAATATTTACCATTGTGTTATAGTTGCCTACAGTGTCCGGAACAGTAACACGCTGTACAGGTTTGTAACTAGGCGCAATAGGCTATACCATGTAGTCTAGGTGTGTAGTAGGCTATACCATCTAGGTTTGTGTAAATACATTCCATGATGTTCACACAACTATGAAATCATCTAACAGTGCATTTCTCAGAACATATCCCTGTTGCTAAGAGACATATGACTATATATGTAACGTGCTTAATGCAGTGTTTGGTATATACAGAGTAGTAAATGTCGGAAGGCTGAGGTAGATGGATCCCGAGGTCAAGAGTTTGAGAACAGCCTGGCCAACATGGTGAGACCCTGTCTCTACTAAAAATGCAAAAATTAGCTGGGCATGGTAGCACGTGCCTGTAATTCCAGCTACTCAGGCAGCCTAGGCAGGAGAATTGCTTGAACCCGGGAAGCCGAGGTTGCAGTGAGCTGAGATTGAGCCATTGCACTCCAGCCTGGGCCACATAACAATACTCTGTCCCAAAACAACAAAAAAAGTAATAAATGTTAGTTGCTATGATGTTTATGTTTATCATTAACACTAGATTATATTGAATTTTTGGGCATAATGAATTTTCTTGTGTAATTTTTTGGTTGAGACTCACCTCAAGTAGTTAATTCTTTTGTGTGCTTTAGGGTGATCGAGTGATTCTTGGTGGAGATCATTATTTTAGATTTAACCATCCAGTAGAAGTCCAGAAAGGAGGAAGGCCATCTGGAAGAGATCCTCTTATAAGTGAGGGTCCAAAAGACTTCGAATTTGCAAAAAATGAGTTGCTCATGGCACAGAGATCACAGTAAGTATTGCTGTTGATATGAAATAGTAAGTGTATGAGAGAGAGCTACAACAGAGTTCATCACATTGTGCCAATCTCTAGTAATTAAATCTTTGGGTGCTAGTTTCTAGTGATATTATTTTTTTCTCTTGGTGCATTCATTAGTTCAGCAAATATTTATTGAGCATCTATTATGTGTCTCACTGTACCAAATGCTGGGGATATAAAGAGTAAGGATTGAAGTTTAGCTCATGTCCTGGAGGAATTCATCATCTCACGGGGCTGACAGTTTTAACAGTGCTATGACACCGTGCTCTGAAAGAGTCCTGCACTGTGTGTGTGGTATGGGAGCTCACGGGGTGACACCTGGCCCTGACCAGTTATCAGCAAAGGTTTCTGGAAGATGAGAAAATGTTCTGTAGAGGAGAATCCCAATAGACGATTCAAATTTAGCCAGAGAAAGACTGGGAGGGTGTACTTTTGTTTTCTTTTCTTCTTGTGCCCCAGTTTTAGTTCATGCAGTATTGTAGGATTTCTGGCATAAGCGCTATCCTTGTAAGCTAACTGATAAAGTATATACAAATAAAATGCTAAAGAGTTTGGACTTTCTCTTAAAGGATTAGGGAAACATTAAAGAATTTTGAGCAGACATGAGACACTCATAATCAGAATCACGTTTTTAGAGAGATCACCAACATTGAAATTTGGAGAATGGATTAGAGATAGAGCAAGCTTAAAACCTGCAAATACAGCTAGGAGATTATTGAAGTAAGGTAAATATAGTGTGGTTAGGTAGGAAAGAAACATGCAGGAGATAAGATCGATAAGGCTTGATGATTTAGGAGGATGAAAGGACGAGGAATCAAGAACTAGTTATGGGCTAGACTAACTGCTTTGTCACCTTTTAAAAAGCCTCAACCTGATTTTGCCCTTTAGAAAGAATTTTTTTAAATTGAATACAATATAAATAGCACAAAATTTACCAAGTTATCCATTTTTAATTGTATAGTCCAGTGGCATTAAGTACCTTCACATTGTTTTGTTTTGAAACAAAGTCTGGCTCTGCTGTACAGGCTGGAGTACAGTTGGCATGATCTCAGTTCATTGCAACCTCTACCTCCTGGCCTCAAGCCGTCCTCCCACCTCAGCCTCCTGAGCAGCTGGGACTACAGGTGCACACCACCACGCCTGGCTAATTTTTTAATTTTTTTGTAGAGATGGAGTTTCACCATGTTGCCCAGGCTGGTCTCAAACTCATGAGCTCAAGCAGCCCACCTGCCTCAGCCTCCCAAAGTCCTGGGATTACAGGCATGAGGCACTGTGCCCACTCTAGTACCTTCACACTGTGTGCAACCATCACCATCATCCATCTCCAGAAATTTTTTATTATTCCAAACTGAAACTCTATATCCATTAAACAATAGCCATTATCCTCTCTCTTTAGCTGCGAAATCCACTAGCTTTCTTTCTTCTAATATTCTTATTCTTTTTTTCAGTAAAATTGGGAATGGAAATTTATGTGTAATACGGTTACTAAAGCACTGATTTTATTGAGAAGAAAGACTCTTTAGTTTTGTATAATCATTGATTCTTTCTGTCCTATATATGGAGAAGTGACAAAGCTAATTTCATGTTTTGACTTATCAAAACATCAAATTATTATAAATGGCTTAAAATATATGATACGACCTCTGCCTTATCAGCTCTCATATCATGTATTTTTAGTCATGTCAATATTTTCCTAATATAAATTAGGTTATTGACGTATGAAATATAATTTTCGCTCTAACCAATGTTTGTTTAACATAAAATAACCTTATTTTGTATTTATTATATTAACTATAATATTTACTGTACTGTATATGATGAAACCATATTTTTATATAATTCATTTTCCTTAAGCATTAGAAAAATATATTTATTTAATGTTAGCATCTGCAATAGTAACTAAGTTAGAAATAAGCAATTTTTTCATCCTGTGTGTTTAAATTTTGAGTGTAAAAATTGTAGAGCCAGTGAAAATTTTAAAAACACTGTTAATAGAATGTCAGGAATTAAGTTTTAAGAAATTAAGTTTAAAAGTTTAAACTTCTGTTCAATGGAAAACTTTTCAATAGGATTAAGAGCTGCTATGATGTAGAGTCTAGCCCTACAGGGTCCTGTGAGCCCCTCCCTGCTGGTGTGGCGACGAGAAACTAGAAATAAAAGACACAAGACACAGAGATAGAGAAAAGAAAGTCTGAGCCCGGGGGTCCACTGCCAACCAAAGCGCGGAGTCCAGCAGTGGCCCCGAGTGCCTGGACACTCTGACTTTTATTGAGTACAAAGCAGGGGGCAGGGAAGGTAGGGTGAGGTAATGGTGGTCAGTGATTGTGTCAGGTAAATCACGTGTCTTGGAGATAGGGGGCCCAGGACTTTCAAGCAGCTGAGACAAGGAGAAAACCTAATGCGTCAGCACGTTTTGCATATTTGTCAGAAATGTCAAGGACATTAAAATTCTGTTACTGTTATTAATTCTTATCTTCTGAGAAAAAGAGAAACCAGGTGCAGAAGCGGAGCGTGAGAGTGGACATGGAACATGACCACTGAAGCACAGCATCACATAGAGACAGTTAAGCCCCGGGATATCTGTGGGCCTACCTGACCACCATCAAGCCGTACCACAAGAGCTTGGAGAAGCGGAGTTTTCTTTAAACTTCCCCAGGAAGGAGATGTCTTGGCCATTTTGGACATCTCCTTCCCTAGCTGACTAAACAGCGGGCGCTTTCCCAGCACTGGTGCTGCCCCACAGCCGAGGTGCCCTCCAGCAGTCCTTATGTGGGCATGGCAGAGAACTTAGAGCAGCTTGCCTTAGGATCATTTTGTTTACAGTGTCACCCCAGTTCCATGCTTCATAACCCGATAATTATCAGTAAAATTAAAGGTTATATTGAGTATGTATCTTTATGATTATAAGTGAGAAACCTTAAGATTGTATATGATTATATAAAGGAATAACTATGTGCCTATATTTCTAATTCTTTTTTAAATCAATATTTACATGGGAACAGGCTCAGGCTTCAGACCCTTGCCATGGCACTTGGGGGTTCCCCCCCCACATCATGATATATAAAGAATTCTTAACATGTACCCTGTAAACATCTTGCTACCTTGTAGACTCGAAGCAGAAATAAAAGAGGCACAGTTGAAGGCCAAGGAAGAAATGATGCAAGGAATCCAGATTGCAAAAGAAATGGCTCAGCAAGAGCTTTCTTCTCAAAAAGCTGCATATGAGAGCAAAATAAAAGCATTGGAAGCAGAATTGGTAAAAGGCAGAATTTTTTTTTTTTCTGACAGCATACCCCAAATGATGTGTTGCTTGTAAAGTTGATTATGTCCCTGTAAGGGAACTGGAGGAGATCAGAGATTAGTGATACAAATCTGCAGTGAATCTTCGTCCTCTTTATTTTTACTTTAAGAAATAACGGGGCTGGGCATGGTGGCTCATGCTGTGATCCCAGCACTTTAGGAGGCTGAGGCAGCAGATCACTTGAGCCCAGGAGTTCAAGACCAGCTAGGGGCAATGTAGGGAGACCGGTCTCTCCAAAAAGTTTAAAACAATAGCTGGACGTGGTAGCAAGCACCTGTAGTCCCAGCTACTCTGGAGGCTGAGATAGGAGGATCATCTAGCCCAGGGTGGTCAAGGCTGCAGTGAGCCTTGGCAGAGTAAGACCCTGTCTCAAAGAAAAAAGAAAAGAAAAAGAAAAGTGATAGTAGACAATGGCTACTGGAAGAAGAAGAAAAACAGAGAAACTTCTGTCTTCTAGCCACTTGAGTCATGGCTGCCTCCTTGGTTTACTGGAAATTGTATATTCCCAGAAGCCCATTTTAGAGAATACTCGAAAAAGTTTGACTAGTGATATTTACCTGAATGAAGTGGAGAAGCTCTAATAGGGCAACTTTTCTATTAGTGAGTAATTTCTTGTACATTGATTAGAGAAAGGGATTTTTATACTTTTTTGCTACTATTTTTGCCTGAGTTATTTTTTATTATTGTTCTTTAAAGAGAGAAGAGTCTCAAAGGAAAAAAATGCAGGAAATAAATAACCAGAAGGCTAATCACAAAATTGAGGAATTAGAAAAGGCAAAGCAGCATCTTGAACAGGAAATATATGTCAACAAAAAGCGATTAGAAATGGAGACTTTGGCTACGAAACAGGTAATTTCATTGTATAACCAGTTTGCTCTATTCTGGGAAAAAGCAGGTTTTTTTTTTTTTTTTTTCCTTATATCCTGGTGCTGCTCACAGATCTGCTCATAGAGACTTTGAAAGAGACAGACTTGTTATTTCCAGCTAGTTCCACTCCAGTTTTCTCTTTTTATGCATCTACAACTATCTGGTTATCAGTCATGCCAAGTAGTTTGAATAAGTGAAATAGTACTAGGGCACATAGAGGAAGGAAGAAAGGCACAGCTCCTACGCTGGGTCACATCTTGATGTCACAATGAAACATCTGCCTGTGGAAAGAGCAGCAAGCAGGCTGTTTCCTAAAAGAACTCACAGTATGGCATTTGTTATCTCAGTCTTATGAGCTCAGGCACCTGCTGTGTCATTGAGGACAGAGGCATATCTCACAGGCCACCTCACACTAATCGATTTCAGAAGCCTCAGGGATAAAACCAGCATGTTAATACCTTCAGACACCTTACTGTCAACATTTTTGGTCATTCTTTCTATGACGGGTTCTTGAAATGTGGTACCTACACCAGCAACTTCAACATTACCTTGGGAACATGTAAGAAATGCAAATTTTTATGCTCCACTCCAGAACTTCAGCAGAAACTGGGAGTGGGGCACAGAACCTATTTTAAGAAGCCCTGTGGGATATTCTGATGAATACTAAAGTTTACAAGCCACTGTTTTGATTCCTTATATCTTAATCTTTAGGTTTTAATCTCTCAAATGGCAATTTTACTTCTCTTTTTTTCCAAGTTTGTGGGGTCGAGGAAACTAGGGTTGGAGTTAGGGTGGAGGAAAATACTCCTAATAATTGCAAAGTATTGATACCATAATACAGTTATTATACATCTGCTAGTCAACTCTCGGACACAAAGTGACTAGTGAACCACCTTAGAGAGTTTTAGGAGAAAAACATAGAACTGTTTAAATCTTGGAAAACAATTATTATTACTGGGCTTATAATACTTATTTGTACTAAACTAGATTTCTTGTGTCTTTTAAATTTAAATTATTTAGTCAACAAATGTTCTTGGGTATGGCCTTTTTTTTTCTTTTTAAACAGTTTGTCCTTTTTTCTTCTTTTTTTCCTGCTTTGTTGGGTTTTCTTATTTTTAATTTTTTATTTCAGTAGCTTTAGGGGTACAAGTGGTTTTTGGTTACGTGGATGAATTGTATAGAGGTGAAGTCTAGGATTTTAGTGCACCTGTTACCTGAGTAGCGTACATTGTACCCAATAGATAGTGTTTCTTTCCTTGCCCCCTCCCACCCTTCCTGTTTCTGAGTCTTCAGTGTCCATTGTATCAGGGGTCCCCAGCCCCCTGGGCCACACAGTCTGTGTCTGTGACCTGTTGGTAACCAGGCCACACAGCAGGAGGTCAGCAGCAGGCAAGCAAGCATTACTATCTGAGCTCTGCCTCCTGTCAGATCAATGGCAGCATCACATTCTCACAGAAGGGCGAACCCTATTGTGAACTGCACACACTTCACAATTTAGGTTACACACTCCTTATGAGAACCTAATACCTGATGATCTGAGCTAGAATCGTTTCATCCTGAAACCAACCCCTGCCCCACTGTCCGTGGAAACATTGTCTTCCACCAAACCAGTCCCTGGTGCCAGAAAGTTTGGGGACTGCTGCTTTATACCACTCCATATGCCTTTGCATACCCATAGCTTAGGTCTCACTTATAAGTGAGGACATGTGATACTTGGTTTTCAATTCCTGAGTTACTTCACTTAGAATTATTGCCTCCAGTTCCATTCAAGTTGCTGCAAAAATTTCATTCTTTTATGGTTGCGTAGTATTCCATGGTGTGTGTGTGTGTGTGTATCACATTTTCTTTATCCACTCATTGGTTGATGGACACTTAGGTTGATTCCATATCTTTGCAATTGTGAATTGTGCTGTGATAAGCATATACATGCAGGAGTCTTTTTGATATAATGACTCATTTTCTTTTTTTTTCTAGTTTTTTTTAACTTCTATCAATGGGAAGAAAAAAGATTAATTTATGTCATCAAAAATCTCTAATGATATTGTTGTGGGGAAAAATTATTTTATAAAGAAATTTTATAAATAATTTTTAAAAGCTTATTGTGTTTAATAAAACACATAAAACATGTTAACTAGGCTGGGCGTGGTGGTTCCTGCCTGTAATTCCAACACTTTGGGAGGCTGAGGCAGGCGGGTCACCTGAGGTTGGAAGTTTGAGACCAACCAGACCAATATGGAGAAACCCCATTTCTATTAAAAATACAAAATTAGCCGGGTGTGGTGACTTGTGCTTGTAATTCCAGCTTCTCGGGAGGCTGAGGCAGGAGAATTGCTTGAATCCGGGAGGCGGAGGTTGAGGTGAGCCGAAATCATGCCACTGCACTGCAGCCTGGGCAACAAGAGCAAAACTCCATCTCAAAACCCAAAAAACAAAAACCAAAAAACCATATTAACTATATAGGCTTAATTAAAAGTGTACTATAAAATGAGGTTTCCTATAGTGTGTTATTATTATCAATTTGGTGTTTTCTAAAATAGGCTTTATTGTGTATATTTAAGTTAGACAATATTATGAGATATATAAATAGTAAAATGGTTACTATAGTGAAGCAAATTAACATGTCCATCATCTCAATATGGTGTTATAATTTCTCTCTTTGCATATTGTCACTCGGGGGTCTGTGTGAATGAATATCAATTAGGCTTTAGAAGACCATAGCATCCGCCATGCAAGAATTCTGGAAGCTTTAGAAACTGAAAAGCAAAAAATTGCTAAAGAAGTACAAATTCTACAGCAGAATCGGAGCAATAGGGATAAAACTTTTACAAGTGAGTGTATGCTGATTTTAGTAAATATTTTCTAAAATTATGCATGTTTTTATATGTAAATAATTACTAAAATGTTAGCATTAGTTGCCTTTATATATTCAAACTATTTTATTCTAGTTGTTAACTTTTCTGGATCTACATAAATTTGTATAAGTAGTTGTCTTGAATATTCAGTTTTTGGAATATTTATTGTCTCAATGCTTTAGACTGAATGTTTGTGTCCCCCCAAAATTTATATGTTGAATTTATAACCTCCAAGGCAGTGGTGTTAGGAAGTTGGGGGCTTTGGTAGGTGAGTAAGTCATGAGGGTAGAGCCCTTATAGAATTCGTGCCCCTATAAAAGAAATTATAGAGCGTTCCCTCACCTCTTCCACCAAGTGAGGACATAGCATGAAGACGGTAGTCTGCAACCCAGAACCGGGCCCTTACCAGAACCTGACTGAGGCTGGAAACTTGATCTCAGACTTCCAGGCTCCTGAACTGTGAGCAATAAATTTCTGTTGTTTATAAGCCACCCAGTCTGCCAATTTGTTAATAGTACTGCAACTGAGCAAATAGTAAGCAAAATTTCAATGTGCAGCATGTTTTTTTTAAAAAAAATCTTATTCTAATTCTTAATCCTTGTTTTTATGTCTGTTAATAGTTATGCTTAATCATGGAGCACATTGTGTTTTTTTTCACTTAGACATTTTTTTCGTAAGAGATAATTTTTTTCTAGCTTTACTGAGGTATAATTAACAAATAAAAATTATGTGTATTTAAAGAGTACAACATGATGTTTTTAATACATTGCAAATGATTACCAGAATCAAGCTAGTAACATATTTATCACCTCACCTAGTTGTTTTTTTTTTTTGTCATGAGGACACTTAGGATATACTCTCTTATTTCAAGTGTACAATATAGTATTATTAATTATAGGCAATTTTCTGTACATTAGACCTCCAGAGTGTATTCATGCTGCATAACTGAAATTTTGTACCCTTTGACTGACATCTTCCCATTCTCCTGTCCTGTATTTCCTGGTAACCATCATTCTACTCTCTGTGCCTATGAGTACAACATTTTTAGATTCCACATGTAAGTGAGATCATATAGTATTTATCTTTCTATGTCTGGCTTATTTCACTTTTGGTAGTGTTATTAGAGTTTTCTACATGTAAGATCATGCAATCTGTAAACAAACAATTTTACTTCTTCCTTCTCAGTTTGGATAACTTTTATCTCTTTTTCTTGCCCACCTGGTTTTGTTGAAACTTCCAGTACCGTGTTGAATAGAAGTGGTGAGAATAGGCATCCTTGTCACGTGCCTGATCTTAAAGGAAAAGCTTTCAGCTATTTGCCGTTGAAGATGTTAGGTGTGGGCTTGTCATATATAACCTTTATTATGTTGAGGCACATTCCTCTATACAGTCTATCATAAAAGGATGTTGTATTTTGTCAAATGCTTTTTTTGCACCTATTGAAGTGATCATATGATTTTTATCCTTATTCTGTTAATGTGGTATATAACCTTTATTGATTTGTATATGTTTTTTTTTTTTTTTTTTTTTTTTTTTTTTTTT